TATACAAATCGTCCAGAGTAACTGTCTGAAGCTGGAGATATGTAATATTAGGGATGGGGTGCCAAAAGAACCATTAAACCTAACAGCGTGCTGATTCAAATGAGGAAGCCAAGGAAAACAGGTAAGGTGTTTTTGATTCTAATTCCAAGTGGACATGAATTAGAAACGCTTAAGATCTAAAGTCAATGGGACATGAAGCAAAATGGCAGCAGTCCAAAAGCTAATCTAATTAAGACCCGAGACCCTTTCAGAGTTAGAGCTGACCCGCAAGCAGAGTGCTGGGCTCCGTGGGTGGGCTACGCAGTCCAAGTTCCAACAGATTTGAGTTTGGTCCGGCTAACGTGAGGAGAGCAACATTGGTCCTTCAAATAGAAGAGCGACCAGAGTGAGCCCAGAAGGTGACGAGGGGAGGTCCGGATAAAAAGTTTCCAAACTGAGAAGAAATATATTTTTGGGGAAATTAGAATTACTCCTAAATATAAATGATCTTTACCATGTGTGTGCAAGAACAATGCATAAACAAAATACTCTAATGTGCACCTCTTAAGGGGAGGTGGAAACTAATGCCCCACTGTGAGAATGTGTCAAAATTAGTAAAAATTTAAGCAGAAGATGAGATCAAATTTGTTTGGGTTTGGAACAATTCATGAATGAACTAACTCGGGCCATATTCATAGATAAATTGGTGTTTTTTAATGTAATTGAGGATAGCAAAGTGGTATTTTCCCGTGTTCGTGGGTCACTCCCGGACTAAAGTTAAGTTATCATCGTTGGGCAAGAAAGAGCTGAATATTCTGTTCATGTCATGCTCTGGTTGTGGATGTCAACTGTAGACTTTGCCATTACCGTGAACCCAATGTACTGTATACTGTATTTTGTTGATAAGGACAGGTTTTATTATATAATTCCGCATGGTGCCAGAAAAATGGCGCCGTAGCAAGAGCTCTGCTGTGTGCCTTCTGGTGCACATTGGGTTAGTCTTGCAAAGTTTTTCCAATGTGGTTTTACTGCAAATGGCAAATAAATTCTTGATTATTGAATCTAATCTAAGCATGTTTACTTCACAAACACTCACAATTATAAGGGTGTAATAATATTCTTCATAGATCAGTTTTACATAGTATTGAGGCCTAAGTCAGTATCAAGGACAGTATATTTTGTAAATGCTTTGTCGACCTTTCCACATGTATCAGAAACAGCAGATTTGATGTTATTTGATCAGCCTTTCACACAACATCCATCAGTTAGTCCTTTTATGACCAGCACTCCGTCCTTTTTTCTACTCCACACCTTTCTCCAGCCCACACCATCTGCGGCTCTTGCAGTTTTGCTCTTTGTGTGTCTTCTACCCTTGAGAAGCTGGTGACAGTAGATAGTTTTAATGAGCTGAGCAGAAGTAGAGCAGAGATCACAGTGAGGCAGGACGACACTGCCTCTCATCCTATTCCCATCACTCATACATTATTCACAAGCGGATTTTTATCTTGCAATGAGGACTTTTATTTTGAAGTGATATTCCGTTTTTGTGCCCCCCTCCCTAGAACCATAGAGCTGCAATTATGTGACAAAAGGCGTCTTCAGAAGTCAGACTCTTCCTGTACCTTTAATGGCTTTGAGGTGTCGGGTGAGAGAAAGTTCATTTACAATGCAGGTTAAACTAGCACAGAACATGAGGTTATCCTAAAACTGTGAAGGGGTACGTTTTAATTGGGCAGAAGCACGGCCACCTTTCTCCGGATCCTCATACAGGAACCTAGAGCTGTTTCATCAACCCTGGAAATGTATCTGTTCGTACTTTACCCCCTCTAAAGTAGTGTTGCCATTTTTTTTCGATACCAGAAAAAAATACTTTGTTTATTGTTTTTGGAAAATAGACTGTAATTGTTAACTCAGAGTAATAAGACTTTATTGGACAGTTTAATATTGATTAAAAAGGACTGAAGATCAAAGTCATATTTGGTCCTTTTTATAAAATTTTGTAATTCTATTAAGTGTCTTTTCACCTGCCTGTCACAATAATAACTTTATCAATGTATCGTTCAATTACTAGATGGACCAATATACTGTATTTTAAGGCTCAATAGAGATGAGATAAATGCTATTTCCTTTGTGATAAAAACATTAGCAAAATAATGAATAGACTTTTATTGATAAAGAATAATAAAAATAGTCACTGGGATTTTTCTGCTGTATTGATTTTGTGTCAATCTCATCTTTTTATAGTTTTTTCTCAAAAGAAAATCACTGTATCTGATTTAACATATGTTTTACATAACTCTAGAGTCAATCACTGTCAGCGAACCACAACTATCTTACTTTTCACCGAGCATCAAAATTAGTTCAGTCCTGCTTGAATAGGGGAGCGGCCCACCTTAAAGGGACACAGTTTTTGAAGGTACTAAAACGAGCTCACCTCAGCTCCGCCACTCTGGTGGGTTCTGAAAGTTCGCACTGGGGATAAGCCACAATCTTCATCTTGTGCATCCAAATATATTTCAATCCGGAGAGACTGCAGAGACAACTCATAATCCCCTGGCACCGTACTAGTGGTAGCATAAGGGTGAAGTTGAGAGCGCGGCTAAAAGGTCAAGGTGGAGGCGGGGAGATGGTAGTTGCGAGGCGTGAGTAGACAAAAGTGACTCCTGAACGACTCTTTGCAAGGCTTGGGAAAAGAGTTAGATGTTTGGACGTTTCCGTTTTTAAACAGCTGGATTATTTGGCGTAGGTTGGCAGCGCTGTGTGATTCGCGAGGACGAAGTGCTGGCTTTGATGGGCTGCAGCAGATTAACCTACCAGATTTAATCCACGCAGGCTTCATTTGCAGACAATTTGACTTTTTGGGCTGAGAATGTTTTATCTGAGCCGATCTATAGTTGTAAGCATGTGCACGAATTTTTGTCTTCTTCCTAAGGGGGGCCTGGTAGGAAATTACTGAAAATCCCTGCCTTAATTTCATAGCTAGATCAATTGCAACGTCCACTCTTCCTGTTGAAATAACTTCCATTTTGTCAGAACTGTCCGGAAATTTCATCACACTAAAATGTATCCGTCACGTCACATTTCCTTCCACCTCCCCCCTTTTTTTATTTATTTATTTAAACTTTGCAGACAAACACATATACATAAAAAAGAGAAACAAAGGAAAGGCCCAGCTCAGATACATCGCCTTCCTGACATTTGCAGATGTGAAGAGAACCGATGAAAGAGAGATGATAAGATAGGACCAGACAGAAACTACTAACAATATGCAGTTGGAGGCACAAGAGGCAAAAGAAGAAACATGAAATGTATATAGATGGGAGGGGAACATGAAGCATGATATGGAGGGGGGGGGTTAAATGCTGACAATAAAACAGGCAATACCGACAATACACACAGTCAAAACAAACAAAACAGACATACAGTTATAGATATATAAAAAGTAAACTGAGAAACAGCATAGAGTACATATTTACAGAATGTTCATCATTATCATAATGACACCAAGATGTGTCTATACCCACACATACATACATACATACACCCGCCCCACAGACACAAAGTCTGCCTGCCTGAGTTTCACCAAGCTAAGCAGGTCCCAGCCAACATCAAGACCAAGTCCAACACACGCACAGACCCCCGGACGGGCCCCCACCCTAAAGGGGGGAAGCCCGCGCCCGGCCCATTCCCACTCTTGTTTTGTGTTTTTCTTAACGAGACGTGTCTTGCATTAAAATAAGCATTCGCTTACCCTGATCTGTGTTTATGTTTATTATTATCATTATCATTATTATATTATTATTTGTTTCCTCTTTTTTCTTTTTTTCTTTTCCCCTTAAATCAGTCTAACTCTGTCTGATGCAGTAAAAGATGAGCCTGGGCATGGTACCCCCACCTCCTGCGGGGGGCCCTGGAAGACCGTGGAGCGCTCCACTTTTTTCTTGATTCTTCTTGTTCTGCGGGTTTCGGTGACAGATGAAAGCAGTCCAGGAGTGAGCTTGTGATTGAACCTGCGTGAACTGTTTGCTCTCAGAACAATCTTTTCATCCGCACCGCACACTGACCTCTCCTGTTCTAACCTCCTGACAGCCGAAGCGTGGGGCGAAAGGCAAAATAGCCTGCAACGGCATAACGCCACTGTTCCTTTTTAAAAATCCTTTTTGGTCAATGTTTTTCGCCAATTGTGTCTCGTTGAAGATTTTTGTTTTTCCCTGTGAATATACTGTATGCCATCAGCCCCGGCCTTGGACTGGGGTCTGACTGTAGAGGAGCGGAGGTGAGGACGGGTCAAGTCCAGCGTTTAACCAGAGCTGTCGCTGTGGAGGGAACAATATGCAGCTTTATTTGATGGATTAAAGAGATTTAATAATGAATGGATGTTTAGGCTTGGTCTGTGTTTATGGGAAGCAGAATATAAAGCCTTAGCTGGGTAATAATTTATGGAGGGGAAAACTGCCTCTTACAGCTGTGCTTACTTTCTGACCTATATAAGACTAAGACTAAAGCATATGGAGCAGGGAGAAAACATATACACCATGTTTTCTCCATGCTGCATGCTGGATATATCATTATTTACTTTGAAACTAACAACTGGTGTTAAAAAAGAACTAAACAATTTTAATATAGTTCTAAATGAGTTTTTCCCCTTTAATAATAAATGTTGTTTGTCCCAACAGCAAGAGTTAGAAAACATATGTATGTATTTCATAGCTGTCTGGCTGCACAGGAGGGTTCTCCTTTTTCACATTTCTTTCTGAAAAGGCTGATCTAAAGATAAAATAAGAAAAAAGCCAAATAATACATGCATGTGGAAACTAGAGACAGGACCAAACTGTTTTGAGAGTGAGAAACTAGATGTGTTTTTTTTTTTTCTTTTATCGTAACTTATTGTTTTGTGGTTGGTACACCATGGACAAGTTCCAAGTCCAGGGGACACATTAATCTCTCTCTTTAAAGTAGAATTTTCTCATTGCTGTATGATGCCTCTGGTTTCAGCTGTGTGCGTCTCTGTTCTCTCCCAGGTGAATTTGGAGAAGTATACAAAGGAAGACTGAAGCCTCTGGGGAAAAAGGAAATCCCTGTGGCCATTAAAACATTAAAGGTGGGATACTCCGAGAGGCAGAGGCGGGACTTCCTGTCAGAGGCGTCCATCATGGGCCAGTTCGACCAACCCAACATCATCAGGCTCGAGGGCGTGGTCACCAAGAGCCGGCCGACCATGATCATAACTGAGTTCATGGAGAATGGGGCACTGGACTCTTTTCTCAGGGTAAATATGTGATTATATTTTAAAATACAAAAGCAGTCACCCTGTCCCCAGACTTATAAGTGTGTACGTTTACAAAGCAGCAATGAAAATGAAATCCCTCGCCCAGTCCAATTTAATCCAATTGAGAAAGACGCATGAGACACAGTCAGCAGATGCACATGGAAAAACTATGCTTATATTAGATTCATTTTGTGAATCATACGCACAATATAAACAAGATGTTGCAGCCTAGTTTAGCTGCTGTGGACTTTTGAATGCACTCGTTAAATGAATAGGGCTCATGTCGGCTAATGCATGCACAAAATAATAATTAATATTTACAAGTACTTTCCCAAAGAATGTTAAGACAAAGTTATGGAACGCATCACATACTCAATCTTTTTTGCGTGGAACATAGATCCTTAAAGTGGTCAGACCACCAGTTGACCACCAGTTTTTAACATACTTTTTTCTATGTTATATAAATGTACTCAGTCGGTGGTAGTCAGCTTGGTAGTCTTGGTAGTAAAACATGATTACCACTTATTATAATTATTTAATTAATCTTCAAATTTAATTCATTTACCCCTGTTTTACCTGGACTTAGATTATGTAATAATCGCAAGTACAGATAAACGAGTGGGGATAGATTCAGATTCAGAGTCATTTTATTTGGTGTAAAACCACATTGGAATACATTTGCAAAAGTCTCTAGAGTGTATCAAACACATAGATAAAATAAGGCTCAAAGTACAAGAAAACAAATGTTCTGGAAACAATTGACACTGAAATTGATCAACTAAAACAGTTTCAATACAAGTGAAATTGCTTAGTTTAGGTGGGTGAAACAGGCACGGAACCACTTGAAAACTTTTTCTGAAACACATACATTGAAATTACCCATTGACTGATGTGGGAACACAAAAGTAATGTTAATTAATAAAAAGCCATATTTTTTAATTTCCTTTAAATCGGTACACTTTGCCATCACACATTGCAAAGATAGAAGAGCAGTTGCTGAAGTCAGTGTAGCAGCTTCGTCCTTTCCTTCCTCCTCTCTTCTGCCCCAGCTGCCTGCCTATCACTCTGTCTGTCTCTTTGATCCTGGCCTCCTTTTTCTGGGCGCCTCTAAAAACAGGCAGAGAAACTGTTTGATGTTGGGTTCTCACAGCCGGACCCCTTTTGACTCCAAAATCCTCCGCTGCTGACTCATAGACGCGCACGCAAACACAGCAGCAGAATTGATCGTGGCGGCGCGGCTGGCCCGGTGTGACCAACCGCCCACTAAATCGATACGTGCATTTGTGGCCACCTGAGAGAAGGTTTAGCCTGCAGAGGATTAGGACACACGGGATCAAAGGGACGGCATGTCAGCAGGAAAGCCAGTGGTTTGGAAGGGACAGTCTGAAGGTGAAAAAGTATCATCAGAAGTAGTTTTGTGATCGATATTTCAGCAGGCCGCCACGCCGTTAAATTGTCACAGAGGTTAAATGGTTTATTAAAGCTGGAGTACCCTCCTTTTTATTACTAAACTTATTTTTCTTGGCAAATCAGACCACGAAATGCTGTCTTCATCTTAGAAAACGTGTTATATTTTACATACAAAGAGAGCCCTGTGAGCCAAAATGAAAAAGCAACAAAAACAAATATATTTATCTGAAAACAAATGATAGAACCAAACTGTTATAGAACCCTTTACTTTATTTATCATTATAATTATTATCATTATTTATCACATTTTCTGTGCCGATGCAGGAGGGTCTGTTGGGCAGTTAGTGTCCAACTAGAAGGACTGTGGTGATGATCCAGGACACTTTAACATTCTCCAACATGTATGACATTTATCAACATTCATGGACATTGGTCTCTCTATGGACCAATTTAACCCTTTTTTTGCCCTACTTTATTTTCTTTATAAAGCAGGGCAGGTATACAGAGGAAGTACCTGCCCACTCATGGTGGCTGAGTGGATAGCACTCTCGCCTCTCAGCAAGAAGGTCCTGGGTTTGAATCCCGGTTGGACCAGGGCCTTTCTGAGTGGAGTTCGCATCTTCTCCCCGTGTCTGCGTAGGTTTCCTCCGGGTGCTCCGGTTTCCCCTACCACTAAAAATATGTACAATAGGTCTGGCATGTGCCTCCTGTACTGGCAACCCCGCTCCCAAAAATCACAATTGTAAACCGCTTTGAGACTCCGATGTGCAGTGTAAAGGCAGAATATAAATAAACATTACTTACTTACTGTACTTACTGCCCTGTTTTATAAAGTAAATATTAAACAGTCTGATATATGTATACAAATTCCACATCAAAAAGAGTTGGAGACTTGAGATTGATAGCATAATAAATGTGTTTACAATTAGTATTCTTATCCACACATGATCCAATGTTGAGTGTTCACCAATCGGAGCAGAATTGTTGACTCGATGTATCGAATCTAAATGACCTGTTGTAAAACGCATCTCCCCAATTTCTTTTCTCATGTATTTCAGCCTTATCACTTTAGCAGAAGACTTTTCATTTAGTTCTGCGTGGTCTTGGTCCTCGTTCTGTAGCTTAAGTCCTGGATCTACAGCCCGTCCGTCCGTCTGTGCGGAGACAAGATGAGATAAGATAAGATAAACTATAATGATCTCACAATGTGAATGTACATGTCACATTTGGCACAGATAGAATCACTCAGGTTGTGCAAAGGACAGAAATGTGCAAATATATTAAGGTTAAAGATATAGAGAGCGGATCCCTCTCTCAATGTGGTTCTCCTCGAGGTTTCTCACTTTTCTCCCACTGGGTTTTAGAGTTTTTCCTTGCCGATGCAGCAGGGTCCGTTAGAGGGTAACCAAAAATGTTCCAGGTGATGATCCAGGACACTCTTAATATTCTACAACATTTATGGACATTTATCAACATTCTCCCTATGTACCAATAACTATGTGTTCAATATTTTTTGTGTCTTAACTGTTGATTCTCTGATCTGTGTTGATGATTTCAATGGTTTTGTTAAGTCCTCTGAGATGACTTCTGTTGTGATTTAGGGCGATACAAGAATACATTGAATCTATTTAGTCACAGCCTAGTCCCGCTTAACGTTAACCAAAGAATTAATCTCCTCATCAAACCTTTTGTAGATAGCGCAATAATAAGTTGTTGTTCACTTATCCCTTTCTATCATTGTAATTCTGGCTCCAGATAAACACAGCTCAGCAATATCAATTAGCTTACATTCACTCTTAGTCATTTTAATAAAGTAGTCATAAGTCACCAATTCACTGAGCGTACGAGACAGAAGTAGTTCCATAATGTGCTTTGTTCTATGTATGATGACATAGTTCAAACCATGCACATGAATAAAAGCATTGTACGTGGTCAGGGTTTGTGAAAGTAATATACAGGCAACATGTTCTTCAAAGGTCCAAAAGGCATGGCAAGTTTATTTGTATAGCACTGTTAATAGGAAAGTCTCCCAGATTTCCACAGACAGCTCCCACACTCTGCACTCACACTACAGTCTGCTGCTCCCATCAGGGCGTAGGTTCAGGTCTCCTATTTAAAACAAAAAGCGCCACATCCAGCTTCCTCCCAACCTCAATTTGCTTTTTAAACAGCTGATTTGGAGACAAATTAAGTTCCTCAAGGAGGAATAAAGTAATTTGAATTGAATTGAATACACAAGGCAACTCAAACAAATTGAACAAAACAAGATAGACACAGTCACACAAGGCATCATAAATAATCCCACTACATTAAAAAGAAAGATACACATTTAAAATCCCTCAATTGCATGCACAGCTAAACACAACTGTTTTTAACCTTAAACATTGTCAGGGAAGAGGCCTGTCTCACACTTTCAGGAAGATTGTTCCAGACTTTATCAGCATGAATCTGAAATGCAGCCTCTATAAAACACAGATACTCCAGCTTCAATGCACCAATATTTACCTGATGTTTATGTTAAACTACATGATTATAATTACCAGGGCGTACTGTATTGAATCAATGCTTTCAGTGATCCACAAACACTCGCTCTGTATCATAAACAGTCTTCAGTCAGTGCAGAATATTTGAATTACTTTGTGTTTTCTGCCCCAGTGTCTCTACATAACCAAGGTGAAAATGTCTGATATGTGGATGTAATAATAATCCCTTCACGGTTTGTGCCCCTGCAGCAGAATGATGGGCAGTTCCCGGTGATCCAGCTGGTTGGTATGCTGAGGGGCATCGCGTCTGGAATGAGGTACACGCACCATCTTGTAATCCTGTCTCTGTTAAAGGCACAGGGCTTACCATTCCAATCAATGTGTTGTAACAAGAGTGTGATGCAGAAAGTTGTGGATGTTAGGATGGAGTAACAGTATGCAGAGTGAAGTAAAGAAAAATTAATTAGGAAGTGCATATCTTTTTGCTGTTTGCGCATTAGAAGTCGAGGCTTTTGTCACGGAGGCAAAAGGAAAATAACCCAAGACGCAGAATTTCAAAAATAATGGATTTGATTAAATGAAATACAAATAAAAATCCAGTGATAACACAAAAAGTAACCAAAGACACACTGAAGACAGGAACTAAAACAGACAAGAAATCAATGACGGAACAGGAAGTGAAGGACCACACAGGACTTAATTACAAGACTACCGAGACACAGGTGAGACACATGAGGGCGGGGCATGTAAGCAGGAAACAGGAAGTACAACTAAACCAACAGGGATTTAAACAGATTTCAAAACAAAACAGGAAATACACCTAAACCATGACAACTTTCCCACTAATGAATGAATTTTGACAATATCCAATTATGTCTGCTGGACTTTATGATTGCAATAATATAAAAACATGCTTTGAGTGCTCGTCTTCAGTAGCTTTCTATCAATACCTCATGTTTTAGGGAATTTGCGGAGATAAAAACAACACAGACTTAAGACAAGACGTTTATTGCAAATTGGAATTAATCTAACTTGATGAATGAATTGTGCTGAAAGGTCTGAATATTTCTTAATCATAAATGTAATATATCTTTTGGGGCATACCTGTTTTTTTTCTGAAATGTGTTCAAAGAAAAAACATTGCATACACATGGACAACATATCTGAGCGCTAGTTTTTTTTGCGTTGAGTGACTGTGCACAGCCATTTTAAATACTCATTATACAATACATATACATGCAAAGTAAATACACTTATATATTCTATCCTATCAGATGTGTTTCATTTTTAAATAGATTAAGATGAAAAGATGCTTTATTATACAGTGAGGACATTTCAGTGTTTTTTATAAGTTAGAAAACAGTAGGAATCAGGGGCACACAAAACCAAGATAAAGTTTGCAAATTCCATTGAGGATGTTTGAAGGACGGAAAGATTCCAATGGTTACGTAGAAGCACATTGATCCAGCCCAACACTGCCGGGAACAAATGGAAAGACATAAGAAAATGTTTTAAACTGCCACTTGGGGCCAAAATAACTTCCCCTGGCCGAATCCCCAACTTCACTTCCCCATAAGTCCACAACACACCTTTTATTATCCCCTGTATTTTGTTGCAACAAGCGGAGATAAGACACATTCATGTAGCAAACACAGGCATTTAATCCTTTTCTATTTTACCGAGGTAGCCGGCTGCGATAACGCTCTAAATCCTATTTGGTCCTGTGCGGCTGATAACACTCTCCCATTGTGAATCTTGCTGTTGCTCCAGGTATTTGGCCGAGATGAGTTACGTTCACCGTGACCTGGCGGCGCGCAACATCCTGGTCAACAGTAACCTGGTCTGCAAAGTGTCCGACTTCGGCCTCTCGCGGTATCTGGAGGAAGACACCTCGGACCCCACGTACACGAGCTCTCTGGTCAGTGCGCAATTCCCAAGTAGACAGGCTGCAATAATGATGATGGGTTGAATATTGGTTGCCATGGTGATTTTGATAATGGGGAAAGGGCGAATGGTGTTATAAATATTCATTATACAAGAACACAGCTGTTACGTTTTTGAACAAAGGGCTCGTCGGACAGCTGAGGACAGAAAAGGGATGGACTTCAAAAGGAATGAAATGTTGCGGCCCAGTCTGGAGTTGTCTAAGTGAGGCCGTGTTGTGGAAACGCTGAATGAAAAGTGTGTCCTTTGTGCATGCCCTTAATCAAACCTTATTTTGAAGGTACTTTTGAGATTGAAATCCACTTTCCTGTGATTAGTGTAGTTTGTGACGCACCTGGTGTAGTTTGTGTGTCCTCAGGTAAGACTTCTCCACATTGCCCAGTGGGAATTTGTCAGTTATCACTTTACTCAAGTTTTGACCAATTATTTTTGGCAGCTTTAATCATTGAATCAGATTTGTGTCTAAAATCAATCTCTATTCTTGCCCCATTGCAAAAAGTCATCTTTCAGAGTGAAACAGGCCCAGTTCCCTGATTCATGACTGTATCAGACACTCACTCTCAGACTCACTATTTGGTATCATTTTCGTTATTTTTTTTTATTATGGTGTGTTTAAACGCCTGACTAAGACATAGAAATGGACTTGCAAACCTCTATGACTCTGAAATTGTATGACATTTTAGATAGATAGATGATACTTTATTGATGTAGGAGAAATTCAGGTGTCCAGCAGCAGAAGACTCATCCAGGTTTGTTGTACAGTCTGACAGCCGAAGGAACAAAGGATCTCTTGAAACGTTCCGTTCGGCAGCGTAGCGATAGGAGCCTGTTTCTTCGATGACTCCTCTGAGCGGCTACAGTGTCATGCAGAGGGTGCCCTGCATTAGAGCAAAAGTTACACACAGTAACATACAATTACATATTATATAAACAGTTTCCCCAATGTGGTATACTGCAAATGGCAAATCAATTCTTGAATCTTGAATTTCATAAAAGAACAGAATATAAAAACAGTTACATGTCGATGAAGACGTCTCAAGTGCTCTCTCTCTCTCTCTCTGTATTTAAAAACATTCAATGAAATAAATCCACATTACATGTTACATTTTAAATCACAACTGTCTCTATCCATTAATAACAAGCTTCCTTGAAGTACTTGATGTGATGTCATTGTCTTCCCCTTTATTATTCCATTTCTGGGTTTGGGTGTTGGCAATCAGAGCCTTGATGTCCTCTGATAAAAAATCCCAAACTTTGTTGTGTCCTTGTCTGAGTAGTCTTTCGAATGTGCCTTTTATTTAAATTGCCACTTTGTCTTTATTAGACAGTAGGAGGACAGCTGTGATACCTTATGTTATCCATTTCCTCAACTATAAAACATCTGTCTCATCTTTCTCTGCTCTAACTTTAATCCCTGTCACGCACCAGTATTTGTGCTCAAAGCCTCCCCTACCCACAGCATCATAAAGGATCTCTCTTTTTTATGACAATGCATCACTGAAGTTCTGACCCAGTTTTGACCCTTACACCTTGTGACAGCTGCAGGATTAGTGGCTGTGTGTGTGTGTGTGGTTTTTAATCGGTTTCCGTTTATGGTCATGCTTGCAGGGTGGTAAAATCCCGGTCAGATGGACAGCTCCAGAGGCCATCGCCTATAGGAAGTTCACCTCGGCCTCGGACGTGTGGAGCTACGGCATCGTCACATGGGAGGTCATGTCCTACGGAGAGAGACCCTACTGGGACATGAGCAACCAGGATGTAAGACCGCTTTTTTTTCAATATTGGTGAAATTAACATCATACAAAACAAGCGCAAACATACAAACATATTCCAATAAGACAGCTACCAAGATTGTCAACAGTTGTGTGTGTGTGTGTGTCACCAGTGTATTGTATTGCAGTCCAAGTGTAGGTTGGTCTTGCCATACCATCGTACTAATTTCATGATATACTTCGGTCTGGATTCACTCGATTAACCGGTGGGAGGGGTTTACTCCTCTTGCAGATTGAAACGATTGGATATGAGTTTACCGTGACATATCTAATGCGCCCAAATGAGTGAGGTATTTAGCATTTAGGCTAGCTTTAGCCATCTCCTTTGCCACTAAAGGAGCCCGTGGGGAGTAGAGGCACAACATCGTTCCAGCAATGACATTTGCTAAGCATTCCTCTTGCTCCGGTTTCAATTTCTAGATATCCATGCATTTGTCTCCAGTCGGTTAGACTACCGCAATGGCTTGTTCACAGGTCTCTCCAAACAAGCGGTAAAGCAACTACAGTACATTCAAAATGCAGCAGCTCGAGTCCTGACTAGAACTAGGAAGTATGATCACATTAGTCCAGTCCTCAGGTCTCTGCACTGGCTTCCTGTGGCTCAGAGGATAGACTTTAAAGCAGCTCTGCTTGTTACAAGTCTCTCCATGGCCTCGCACCGGAGTACATCCGTGACATGTTGGTGCCATATGAGCCAACTCGGGCTCTGAGGAGCACAGGGACTGGCCTCCTGCTGGTGCCAAGAGTCGGAACAAGACATGGGTAGACTGCGTTTCAGATTCATGCAGCTAGAGTCTGGAACCGCCTGTTTAGCTGTGCATACAACTGAAGAATTGTATCTTTGATTTTAACTTTAATCTTTTAATGCAGTATGGCTATTAATCATTTTAATCCCATATGTGATTTTAATGTTTTAAGGTTGTTTACTACTCGTGTGATTTTATTTTTTATGTTTTAAATATATATGCTCTTAATGTGTTTTTTAACGTTTATGTAGATTCTAATGTTTGATGATTTATGCATGATGTGGTATGGGTTGTGAGGGTTTGCCTTGCCTTGTGTCGGAAAGGCGCTCTAGAAATAAACTTTGATTGATTGATATTTAGAGCCATACCAGAACGGATTACTTTACTATCGCATTCACCCGCTGTTGCCAAACTCGAACACTAACTTTTGACGTCACCGACACATACCCACAACAACTGCCTCCCCTGCTCGAATGGTCGGAGAGGAGGAAAAGGGGTTAAAAATGCAGGATCTCAGTTGGAGATGTTTTCCCACTTGTCGTCCATGATAACTCCTGTGAGCCACAACGAATCATTTTGATGTAGTTGTTTTAAGCTGTTAGTCCTTTTTATATAATAATACTTGAATCGCTTGATGAACTCGGTAGAACGTTCCGATACAAACACAGTCAAACACAGTCAATGCATTACACTTAATTCATCTTTAGTCAAGGTACCCTAAAATCCATCATTGGCATCCAACTGGTCAAGGAAAACTATCTAGTAAAACAAAAAGGGAAATATACAATTATGGGAAAAATTGAGAATAGTTTGCGCACAAAGGCAAAGCTAAAAATGACATTGTTTGAGGATTCCTTTTATGGACATTCACCTCCACCTTTTCATGGTTGTTGCTGGGTTTTTAGTTTCGTATTGGCCTCAGCTTTGCAATAGGAATTATCAAGACACATCACATGATCGGTTGTCAATATTTATATATACCATGGAAAAAATAATTGACATTTTTAGCATGTTTCCCTTGGTTGCTTCAAAGTTAATCTTCAATGTATTCTTCACGACTATTATTCTGTATCACAATCAGAATCAGAATCAGAATCAGAATCATTTTTATTGCCACGTGAGTAACAAAGTTATCACTTGGAAATTGTCTTGGCAGAGAGTGTGCCACTTCGCCATTTGCGGCGCTGTGTGCAGCAAGAAACAGCAGAGAGCAATAACATACAGTTCACAGACAATTGGATAGACACATTGTGCTTTTTATAAACCACGGATTTTTTTCTCGGGATGAGCACCTCCGGCGGCCGGCCCAATGTAGCTGTCAGAGGGGGGCGGGATCAGGGAGGGGGTGAGTAGGAAAACAATAAGGAATGGAGGGGAGGGAGGGAGCAAGATGGATAGGTAGAGGGAGGCGGGGGTGAGGGATCCTTGCTGGAGACTGAAATAGTGTGAGTTGTTGTAGATTGTGGGACCTTGTTTATGGCCTTGGTCGAGGAATGTGAGATAAGAGTGGAGAGAAGACACAGCAGGAGAAAAACACATCACCTGAGAGGGACAATATTATATGCAATGTAGCATCAAAAGCAGGCAGATATTCTATTAATTCCAATTAAACCGAATTACGGCGCCCTCAGACCTCCGTACACAGGGGCCAATCCAAGCCGGGTCAGAGAGTTCAAGCCTGACAAACAATGTCAGGCTTGAACAACAAAGTTCAGATACATGAAATTCTGTGCATATCTTTGTGACGCTAAAAAAAAGTGCCTCATGAATGAATAAAATAGAACCGCACTGATGGAAATGGCTGGAAATAATGAAGTTTATCTAAACCCTAGCGTACATCGGACTGGCAACTGATTATATCCGTCGCCTCTGAGTTGCTGCCCCGCACACATCGACAATCTGGCGAAAACGGGCAACTCTGAGTCGCAGGCCAGTCTCTTGAATAACAGCGCGTACATCGACAGCAACTGGCCTCAACTACAGTGTGTTTTCTGACAACAAACTGTTGCGGGCTCGCAATACACGCAATACACACACGTTGTTGGAGCGGCGCATGGAGCGCGCACATCGGGGCAACTGAGGACAACTAGTTGCCGAAAAGTAGAACACGGGCAACTGACTGGAACTGGAGACCGACTGATCATCTCCAGTTGTAAGAGCGCGCACATCGACCGATTTTGGCAACTGATCATCTCCCACCATCTCCTCTCAGTTGCCAAAAGCCGCCTTGCAACTAGTTGTCCCCAGTTTCTCTGTCGATGTACGCTAGGCTTTAGAATACAAAGCTTGTTTTCATATTATTGCTTCAACCCAAGTTTGATTCATGCTGCTAAAATCTTGGAACACCTGAATATGTGAGACAGGCTTCTTCTCTTGCAATGTTTAAATCCAGGTTTAATACAGTTCTGTTCAGCTGTGCGTACAACTGAGGTATTTTTTGTTGTATTATATTTTTATTGCATTTCAAAAAAACATTTTGTTCCCCCAGTCCCACCCACAATATCCCCAAGAGATAGCATATGACAGTTAACACAAAATACATTTAATTGGTGTTATAGTCAAATGTACATACTGTATATAAATAAATACCTATACATGCGCAAACATATGCCCGCGCAAACGCACGACCACATGCATAAAAGTAGCTATACATCTTCGCACACATATGGACAATTTTATGTGTTTATCTTTTTTTTAATATACCGTGATATTTTATGATTTTAATGCCTTGTCTGACCGTTCCTATCTTGTTTTGTCCAGCACTTTGAGTGCAGTGTATGAATTGCGCTATACAGATATACTTTCCTCTTCCTCATTGCCTGAAAGTTTCGGGGGCCAACTCATGACAACAAATTGTGAGTTGTTTCTGGAATAGCTGCGACACAGATAAGTCACATTGTCCCATAAGTCTTTTAAAAAGAGGAGTTTTTTCCCCTTGTAGTATTCTTTGACAACAGTTGTGCGTTTGTGTGTGTTTGTGTGTGTGTGCATGTGCGTGTGTGTGCGTTTACCCTGGCCCCTGGAGGCTCTCTCTGATGTCAGCGTGTGCGTTGTGAGGCTGCAGTTGTTTGCTTCCCTTCCTGGCTGTCGCGCTGGGGGGTCCGCGTGTCGACGAAACACACGCAAAATGAGGACATCCATCTAAGTTTGTTCACTCACAAATCATCCCAAGAGGAAACACACTCTTTTCCGCCGCACTCGGCTTTGAGGGATCCCGACAACAGAAATCCAATTACTTCCTGAGGTCAAAAGGCCACAAAAGTGCCAAAATGCTCATCGCAAATTCATACAAGTGAATTAACCCATTTACTGTTTTTGGATTGACAAAATCCAAAAACAGTAAATCAAGAAAATCCCTTGACAAAATATATGAAAATAAGTAAAATACTGCTTAAAATTAGAAAAATGATCGGCCAATAGAACAAGAAAATATGACTTGACAAGATTTCTGACAATAACACAATAATACTAGCCCCAAATGACTTGATTCTAGAATAAAAACATACATTTGAAGTATTTCATTATTACTGTATTATTATTTTTGAGAACAGTTTTCTTAAAATATAGCATCACAAACTGATTCTATCCAAACAAGAAAAGTTGACTGGAAATAAGAAAAAATACTTAAAACAAGCTTAAAAACTCACTGCTCAGACTTTTTCTCAAATAAGATTATGACGTATTATTATCTTAACACTAGTAAAATAATCTTACCTGACAAACTACATTCAAGCAAAAAAAAAAACTTGCCATTAAAAAATAAGAATCATTTATATTATTTTTAGAACAAACAAGTCTAACGAGTATAGAGTATATAGTATAGAGTATATAGTACCAAGATTTTAGTTTTTTCAGCTCAATACTATATTAAAACATTGGATTTTTATAATAATGTATAAAAGTCACTATTTCCAAGTCTTGTTTTAAGGCAGTCATCATGTGCTCAAATTAATGATATAATTTAGTTTTTTTCTTCCCTCCTCACCCTCAGAGCTACATCCTAAATGTCCAGGGTCATTCAGTCTTTCTTGGATTGTTCATTTTTCTCAGGAGCTCAGTTACAGCCTGGAAATGTTTAGAACAGAAATGGAAGCACTCGTCTCCAGGTTGAAGGGTGGATGCTTTCACTGCTGAGAAAATGCTGTCACAATGCTGCCTGATGTCTGCAACTTTGATGAACATGTTTTCTTTTTTCTCTGTGAGGAGGAAAAACACACAAAGAAAAGGGATTTTAGACCAT